TCGAGACGTTGCCAGACATTTCATACAGCGATGGAACGCAACTAAGACGGAAAAACTCAAGGTATAATTTGTTCAGTGGTGAAGGGAAAGTGCTGTACAGTTATAATTTCATATGATTATATATTTGTTAAGGATGACGCGAACATACCCTATCTCCTCCCGAAAAGCTACGAGAATCTAAAGGTTCCCCGTGTGTTCAAAAATCCAGCGTTCAGCTATAACGTTGACATTCAGGTGAGTATTTTTATGGTTTTATTTTCCAGCTTTTATCATCTTGGTCATAAGCCATTTTCATGTTCGTCAGTTGTTGGAGACAGAAAAAATAAACGGGTTTCAGTCGTCCTTAGAGCTGCAGAATGTCGATTTTATTCCTAGTTAGGGCGGGTTTTCGCAAGTCCATTACGAAAAAATTCGGATGGTTCCGAAGGTGTTTTTTTGAGTCTCAAGCATTATCTCGATGCATATCCCTTATATCGTTGTAATTGCTTCTGTTCAAGCTTCCGAGATTGATATACGATTTATCCGGCTAACGTTTCGGCGCACTCGCCTTCTTCGGAGCCTGCAAATCGAAGCATCTTTTTGAAACAATTCGTCCAAGCAACATTTCAGATTACAAGAAAGAAAAACTAAGGGAGAATAAGCCATGAACGATGTCGTAACCCGCTAACCTTTGTAAAAGCCGAGCGTTAGAAGGCACCCTTTGCTGAAGACCGCGAAGTGCAACTTTTATATGTGCTTCGCACCTTTGGGGTCGGGTCATATGGCTTAAGGGAACCCCCAAGATGAATTTTGAATTTAAGAGTATATATCGATCACTGGTAGTTTTTCGATTTGGTGTAGTGATCTAACCGAAACTTGGTCAGACTTCGCCTGTTTGTGTTTTGGTGTTAAGTGTTCCTGTCTTTAGGCACCAACGAGTACTGTACTTTCGCGAAATGCGCTAGTTGCTCGTCCAAAAAGTGTTGGAAGCACTAAAATAGTGGGGCGTACTTTTATCATTTTTCGTAGTGAAAACAAAATATGAATAGTGTGATTGAAGTACGCGTTTAATCAGATCAAGACTCAACACTATTGTTTTGGAATTTTTTTGAATGATTACACTATTAAAATATCAGGCAGGAAAGCTTATTATTAATGCACTATCCAATACCTTCGACCGCTTCAGGTTCTGCGTTCTCTTTCAAATTGGTCAGGTTTGATTAATCAGACTGAAGACTCAATACAGATGGCCTATCTTTCCCTCATTGCTAATTCAAAGGTAGTATTTGGAATTTTCTTTCCTTTGTTTCATTTCTGAACTTATTTGGATTCCCAACTTTGAAACCCTTTCATTGCAGCATTTCATCTATATTGAAAACCAGTTCTTTGTCTCAATGATCGATTCGAACGATGTGCTTAATGAGATCTGTAAAGTTATCTGCAATCGTGTGATCAGAGCATATAAGTACGCCTAAGTTAATTTTTCGGCACCAGAGCAGTAGCTCTTTATTTTGTTCTTTCAGGGAAAAACAACCATTTCGGGTTTACATAATGATTCCGCTTCTGCCTGGTTTCGAAGGGAATGTTGGGGCACCTGGAGGCTCCTCTTTACAAGCCGTTCTACATTGGACCTATCTTTCACTCAGTCGTGGCCCCTAATTCCTTATTCGAGCGTTTGAAAGCGGTAAGTTGGAAGTTTTTCTGGGTTGAGCCTCTGTTTTGAAAAAGCTGAGGTCGGAACTGAAAGCCTCAAACACATTGTGTATCACAGAAACCAGATAATACAGGCGATCATTTGTTAAAAAGCTGTTAAACTGTTTCAAATGCATCGTTTCCTCGAAGAATCAATATTTGCGATTACCGCGGTATGCCGGACGCACCACAATCTGTTTGAACTTTTTTTTAAGGAGAGAACTGAAGATGCCATACTCTCTGAATATTTATCAAAGTGATGTGGAAATCTTTTTTTTAGGTTATTCCCAATCCACACGATTACATCTCTGTGTGTTCTCTACGAGGAAATGACATCCTGTGTGGGAAACTGGTTAGTGGTCATAATAAACAAGGGTGACCATGTCTATCGAGAAATCAATAGTTCTTTTAGGTTTCTGAGCTGATATACGTCCATTGCAAGCTGCTTATAGTCGACGACGAACATGTTATAATCGGGTCTG